ACCTCCTGTTCACCGTTTGGGGGTACTGCTTAAAAAAAATCACTCAAGTGGCCCTTTAATCTTAGGGCATTAATATTTAATCACGGCTTTGATTGCGTATAACGGCAGCTCGAGGGTGTATTTTCACCTAAAGGTCTAATAATTTAATAACACTTACTGAAGCTGCATTTGCGTTAGCTTTCGCTCTGTTCTAATACCATGTTGCTTTAAATAGGGTCCATTTTTAATGGGGACCAAATAGTCTATTTTTTGGTTCCCTGCTTTCTTCTACAAACCACAAGGCACGGAGGTGTTTAATCAAGGCCCTGTGATGAAGGACAACAAAGCCATAAAGGTCATTTCCATCAGACAATGAAGATCACCTGATTGAAATCTCCTCTTTCCGTGGACAGTGGTGTCACCTCCAGGATTATTGTCACCTTTTATTGGCTGATATCAGAGGATATGCAGCAGAGACATCCCCACTTGCTCAGAAAGCAGCTTTGAGGCAAACCCTTAATAAAAAATGTTAGGAGTACATTCTAGCTCATCTGGTGCCATAAAGTTTGAAACTGGTATTACTATTTTAACTTATCGCTTATGGAATCTATCCGAGCCTCAGCCGTGCCTAATTAGCTGACACTGGGATTCCAACGTTCCATTATGCACCTTGCGTCCCTTAGACATCAGTTTATTAACAAGCCCCAGACGAGAAGGAAGTTACTACAAGCGTTATCTGCTCTAAGAGAAGACACCTGCGCCTCCGAGCTGCTCCACAGACCAGCCAAGCCCGCCGTCCCAGAACTTTGCCTGCACCGCGGCTCGTTGGAACACGGCCCCATCCTGCCTCTGTGACTGCCTGCCTCACGTGCTGGGCTTCTGGTCTGTGCCATTGTGCTCTGGGAGGTACAGTTTTGACCCACGGTTCCTTGAAATCTGTGTTCTGTAATACCGAGCCATATTATAATAAGGCTCTAACACACTTCCCCCTTAATCTCATAGCTTTTCTGTTTTCCAGGAACTTCTTAACAGATTGACTACGTTTCATAGAGTTTGCTCTCATGGGGTAGGATATTTTCTATGTGTGTTATTATAATGTAGGGGATTTTTTTCTTTCTTGAAAATCTTGAAAATCAAGATGCGAGCATAGGAGTGATTTTTTTTTCTTTAAGGAGTTAAAGAAATTTCCAGGCACTTCTCCTCTGCGATCTCTCTGGAGCAGTCCAAGCTTCAGCTGACGTCCCTGCGTCCCGACTTCATCTGAATCTATGTACGCAGGTCTGCAGGCTGAATCTGTGTGGCTGCGTCCCCATCCACCCGCCATCGTGAGTCCCCTGAGCCTCTGGAAGGGCAGAGGGCCGTGTCTGGAGCTCAGACCCTGCTTCCACAAGCCGTCCTCAGGACGCAAAGCTTGACTTTTCAGGTGCTGGTCCTACAGACACATAAGCTAACACTATATTAACTTTAGCCACCACCTCCTTTGAGCAGGGCAGGTCCTGAACACAACGAGTGCATCCTTCCCCATCAGCACACACACGTTCAGGGCAAGGGCAGCAGGCGTGACTCCCCGAGAAAGCCAGGCCATTTCCGGCCTCTCCTCCCAGGAAATTCAAGGGCAATGGGTTTGTAGGACTTTCATATTTCAGTTTCATTCACTGCATTTGACCTTTTGTGTATTTAGTTCCTTGCCTCCAAAAACAAATAATCTGAGGAATTTAAGAAACTTATAAAGGGGAATTAAGTTATAGGCAGAAAATCACACTGGAAACACACTTGTCTCTAACGGGTGCATTTCTCACTGTGACTCTATAGCATCGTTAACTGCACTTTGGTGTAAAACCGTGAGCAGGCTCCAGGACCGAAGCTTAGCGCATGGATCTGCATCAGATTTTTAAACAGGTTGCACAACCACACCAAAGAAAGCCTTCTTCTCATGTTCCATTACAATCTGACTTTTAAGACTGATATGTAATTGAAAATGTTTTCTTTTGATAACTCTGTTACATATACGAATTCATATCAACCCAAGCAGAGAAACAGGTATTTAAAAAATAACCAGCAATCGACTCTTTTTTTCAGGGCTTGTCTTAGTGAATCACGTATTGATCTCCCCCATTTGGGGCTTTGCTCTATTCTGCTCTCTACTCCTCAGTGAAATGGATTCACTGGCCTCGACTTACTCTAAGCAAACAGTAATCCACATCACAGAGTTTAAGCTGTTCATCTCAGCCAACTGGTCTTTTCTTTACAAGAATAACTTCACAGAAGTCTTCCATGGAGACCCAAAGAAACCATTTCATAAAAGTACAATGTGAAAGCATCCACCTCAAGCATGTCTTCTCTCCCTACTATTTTAATAAGCATTATAAACTGCCCCCACAACACACCCCCTCCCTTTTTCCTCCAGGAATTTCTTCTGACCCAGAATTAGTTTGCTTTTCATGGCCTCTAAGAAACTTTTCTGTCACATCCTAGGCATCGTTTTGTTTCTGTTTCTTTTTTTCTGGCTTTTTGCTTCTGTTTTGTTTTCGGTCAATAGAAGTCCCTAAAAGGCAGGAATGCGGCTGGAGGGATGGTCAAGTGAACAGCTATCTGCTCATCACTGTTCATCAGCAAGACCAGCACAGCCCAACCGCGACCCGGGGGGAACCTTAAGGGTCACCATGAGAAATGCAGACTTGTGTCTGGGACTCAAACGTAGTTTTAATCAACAACTCAGCACGCTACAAACATTTACATCAGCTAAACAAGTCTGATCTGGAAAGAAAAAATATGTAAGTCATAAGATATCAAAAATCCTCTAAGAGACAAGATTATTTTTCCTGGAAAATAAGAAAAAACTGAAAAGCTGTATTGAGCAAAACCTTAAGATATTCACCATCAGAGGCAAGATGCACGGTTCTCTCCAGTTAAACATCCATCAGGGAAAGTAAGGCCAACCTCCCAAGCTCATTTAGGTCAGAAACAGGAACCCAAATTCTCCTAAACGCCACGACTACCATGAGTACTGCCTACGCGTGAGACTGTGTAAGGACTACCAGCGAGTGTGAAAAGACTGCAGGGAGCGTCCTCCACGACAGGCGCTTCGGCTTTAGCGGAACCTTGTGCCAGCGTCTCCACCGTGTTCCCGTCAAGAAAGAGTTTAGTGCCTTTACCAAGGAAGCCTAAGTTAGGGAAATGTTTATGAGTCCCTAGTTGAAATGCTTAATTATCTTAAATAGGTAAGTTTATATAAAGACACAGGGACTATGCTTTAAATCTCAATTCTTCCCTCCTGAACAAATGATGCTAATTGTTCTCAAGTTCTGTTTCCACTTTGTATCAGTCGCACCCAGGGCAGGCTCACTGGGTTACAACGTGTAGGCTCTGTGCTCCTTAACCAACGGCAGGCACGTCCAAAATCACAGACTCTTCCAGTTTTCCCAAATAAGTGACATTAACTTAAAAATCTGACTTTTTGCAGATACACACTACTATATAAACAATAAACAAGGTCCTACTGTGGAACACAGGGAGCTACATTCAGTATCTTGCAGCAACCTATACTGAAAAAGAATATGAAAACGAATATACGTGTGTACACGTATGACTGAAATACTGTGCTGCACACCAGAAATTGACACAACATTGTAAACTGACTAGACTTCAATTTTTAAAATATCTGACTTTTGGGGGAGGAGACAGCTCAGTGGTAGAGTGCCTGCCTAGCATGTACAAGGTCCTGGGTTCTGGCCCCAGTGCCTCCACTTAAAAAATGAGTAAATAAATAAACCTAGTTAGCTCTTCCCCTAAAAAATTAAAAAAAAAAAGCTGTCTTCTCTAAAAAAAATTAAAATAAAGGTATCTGACTTTTAGTAAGAGCTGAGGTGGCAGAGGGAGAAAAACAGAAATCTTTTTTTAAAAATTTTGGCAAATTTGTCTAAATTTCAGAATCGTCTCCTGCGGAGGAGTCAGCTGAGTGGTTAAACAGTGTGCTTTCTGGGCAGCCATGTAACTTATGGCAAATAGTTTTTGCTTTTGGGGGGCAGAATGTCACCCTACTTAGTAAATTCTCAGAGACAACAATGAGAATTTCTTCTTTAAAACAAGTGTAGAATATGCCCTGACATTTTACATAATTAAAGTCAGATGCCAATGAACGTAAATTTAACAGAGACAATGAAACATCTGACAGTGAGATCATGACTCCACTCGTCAGTAACACGGTCCAAAGGTAACTTCCCAGAAGGCCCCACCTCTCCTCCTGCCTCCACACCTACAACAACACCCACATAGAGAACGAGAGGTTGGTGAGTGGTAACATCTACACGCTAAATGTTAGCTGAAAGTCTTTTAAAACAAAGACACAACAGGAGAGTTAGCATCAAAACAAAAAATAGCCAGTGGTGGCCTCCTTTAAGATTAAAGACTAAGAAATCAGCCTTCTACATCATGTGAATTCAGAATCTACACGTAAGAAAGGCCAACAGAGCTCTTGTTCACTATAAAAGTGTTCCCTACTTTTGGCGCATTTAAATTTTAGAAATTAGGATGTTTTTACATTTAAGGTTTCTAGAAACTTAAATCTCATTCCTGATATGAAGTGAGGTCATTTCTCTAAGTGATAGCCACAGAAAACCTGCAATCTGTGGCAATACATTTCCTTAATTTCATGACCATGCAAGTACTGATGAAATCCAGTCCAGTTCTTAACAAACAGAACACGATCCACGTGCGTGAACTAGACAGTACATGCTATCAGACCCTTATTTCATTTATGACATCTCTTCACTTTTCCCCTGTTACTAGAATCAAATGCTTTATGGCCGAGCCTGTTTGTGTCAAAATCTGCAAAGGCAATCTGTTTTATGCACTCCTCTGCTTCACCTATAGAAAGAACTGGGCTTGTTACGATGCCGAACAATAGGTTTTCAATAAATTATCAAACGTGAGACGATGTAGTAGAAACAAGAGACACAAAATTTCTTCTCAGGAAGAAACATGAAGACATAAAGGCAGACGTTGACCTTTGGGCTGTGGCTTGACTCCTTTCTGCCCAGCAACCCTGTTCTTCCTAGAGCTCAGTATGATTAGCAGAAGTTTTGCACAGACCTGGAACGAAAAAGCGTTGCATGGCATCACCATTACATTGAACACCAGCCCGTAAGTCATTTGTTTTCTGCAAAAGCACATCTCTGTGGAAGCACATTTTTAAAACTTTGTTATTATGGATGTTTCCAAATACACACAAAGGTAGAAAGAAGGATGTAATCTGCTCCCCTGTAGACAGTCAACCGCTGCTACTGTTGCCCCATCTCCAGCAGTTTTTCCTGGAGTCATTTGAAACAAAGCCCAGGGATTGTATCGCCTGCCGGTGGCAGGGGCGCACTGGGCACTTAACCCGAGGGGCAGAGGTGATGACGCTTCGATGCGTCCTGCACGTCCAGCTGGCAGCAGTTCACGCCAGCTCCCCTTAGACTGGGCGATGGATTATTTTAGCTACAGAACTTATTTAAAATTATTACCATGCTAGCCTTTGTATTATTTTATATTATTAGCCTTGAAGGTAAATATGTTGAATATTAGCGTTTAACACCCCCATCAGTGCTTGGAAGTCTGTACAAAAAGGTAAAAATGCTTTTATTTTAAACGTAGGCTAAACGTGTCTGGATACCTGAGACCTTATTCCACGTGTGGCACTCAAAGTGGTCATGTGACAAACTCTCACCAGTCTGATGTTTTTCAATGTTCAGATTTGCTATCAAAGCAGAAGTGATATGTATATAAAACACATTTATATATCTGTATCTACACACCCACACGCTCTATCTAGTGAATACGCCCACCAGCCCGAGGGCCCATCCATCCGCAACCCAGGGGCACACGTGCTGCCCTGAGCGGGGCAGGGCTACCTTTTAAACCGCAGCCCCCAGCCTACTGAGATCTTAGAACATCACTTTTCACTTCAGGACAAGCGATAATCCGGAGAAGCCCGGGTCAGATGCCACAAAGCATCCCAGCAGGAAGGTCTAGTGAACTCACGTTTATTTTCGGCCCAGGAAAAGAAAGAGAGACATGGAAGACGTAAGCCACGGCTGCTGTGACCGCCCCGCACCCCCGGACAGGTTGTTTGATGCCTTCGATCCTGCCCAGTGAGCAGGGCTGCAGCAGCGTCCGCGGCTCCCTCTGCAATCCCATCCCCTTTCACTGAGATGTTTTTCATTCGTCGAGAAGATGATACATTTATGAAAATCTCACTAAAGTGTTATTCCTAAATCCAAACACAGTCGTCTTAAATTTAATCTACAATACGTCTCCTCCATTTATTTGTGTGTAGGGGAGGGGTGAACCTTAGAATCTTGACATTTTACAGAATCACAGGTGTGTCAACTAATCAGGTGGGGGGGTCCTTTCACAAAGTACACAAATCGCCACGATGTACACTTTCCACACCTTACAATTTTCTGTGTCAGTTGTACCTCTAACGCTGACACGTGTACAGGTCTGTGGGTGTGCCCTCATCTGCTCCCAGGCAATTATTAAAAATAAAGTGAAAGGTCTACATTAAATAAAAAAACGCAAAATTCTCACACACACACCCCAAGTGAATATAAGGTATGGAAAGGGACCAGCCGTTCAATCAAACCTCTAGTATTAGAAACAATCTGTTTTTGAAAACAGCATTTATCTCCCTAAGAGCAATCCAGACATTTTAGGAGCTCTCAGTGTGGCGTCCTGTAGGTCGTATACACTTGGTGAGGAGTTACCAGTTAATGTAGTTCCATAACCTCCAATACACACACACACACACACACACAGTCATTTCTTTAAAACACCATTTAAATTGTGCAGATTGATCACAGCAAACCCGGGGTACAGCAGCACAAGATAAAGCACCGCCTTTACAAAACGAGGATGAATGTCACGCCACTGCAACAGACGTACTGCACTTGTGTTTTAGATTATGCTTAAAAGCACCTGGGGGGAGGGTACAGCTCAGTGGTAGAGTGTGTGCCTAGCGTGCATGAGGTCCTGGGTTCAATCCCTAGTGCCTCTATTTTTTAAAAAAACCTAATTACCTCCTTGCCTCGCCCAAAAAAATTTAAAAAAAAGAAACACCTGGAGTTTTTCTACAATATAAGAGTCTCATCTTTCACACAACTATCTGCAACCAGTATGTTCAAACACACGACCTCTTTGCTGCTGCGGTCATCAGTGGAGTTATTCTCATCGCCGTGACACCTTAGCTTTTTCTGGCGATAATTTTTAAGTTTGAAAACCTCTCTACTTGTTCTGTGGTTTTAACTTCTTTCAATAGCAGGGGGCTTTGGGCGGGCAGGGAGCCTGGTCTCTTCTTAGGGTTAACGCAGTCTCAGTCTTTAATGTATAAATGGCTTAGAACATGCATAAGTATGTTCCAGAGAGAAACGGCCCCTGAAAAACCTCACTCCACGTGGATTCGTGGCAGCCGTGTGGCTGTTGGCTCTCTGGAGTGGTTACCTTGTATTCTCCATAGCTCTGGGGCACTGGCAGTTATGTTTACAGCATCAGCTTTTTTAAAAATGCTATTAAGAATGATTGGATCATGTTATTTTGCACTAGTCATACTACACATCTTAGATTTATGCTTTACGCTTGTATATTTTAGGACAATATTAATTTTTATTTATTTCCAATTCAAAATATGCAGAAGGAACGAAAAGAGATCGTTAATATTACTGAAATTAAGTCAAATTGCTGCACTTGGGAACAGAATCTTTCCCCAGAATCTTTTATCTGGGGCAGCTCAAAGACCAGCGTAAAGAGCAGGTGAAACTTGCTCAAGTCCTTCTGTAATATCCGAGCAGGGGCTCATGACTTGTATTTGCCACAGACAATGATGACGAACCCAAACCCTTTATGGGGGAAAAAGTAGGAAAACAAGTATTTCCAATATCATTCATCACATTTTTGCTTGTATCTTATCCCACACATACCTCTCTGCGTTGCTTGAAAAACTTCAAAAACTATTTCTTTGGGAAATTGTGACTATGCCCTTATTTACGTGAATTTCACAAATTGCGACAGCCCTTACCAAATGGATGGCAAAGGCTCTCCAACTCCTGAGCAAGTCACTTCTCTGCAATTGTCTTCAAACTCCCAGCCAAGCCGGATTTTAAACAGAAAATAACCCCCTACTACTCAGAGTAAGAAACCTTAGCCATGTTAACAGGAATGCATTACTTTCGTGTTCAGTAACTTTTGATGACGAATATGTATCTGTACATGTGCAGTAACTTGTTTTAAGGGCTTCAGCCCTGAATCTGACCCTGCAGACACAGTCATGTTATACTTTATTACAAACAATTGCTGAAAGCTAAACAGCTCAAGCTTCCATAACTGCACGATAGTACTTCCCCTAGATTTAAATCACTGTCTTCTGATATCTCACCCATTTTCCCAGAGAGATCTGAAAAGAATGTACAACTTATAGTACATTCTTGTAAATGTATTTTCAAAGCATCACAGTGGTACAGACTAGAGGGTGTGTGTTCAGCTGAACCGAGGGGCGAGCTGGGCGGGCCTGGGTTCCCCTCTGTGCACAGGAAGCAAAGTTCAGGCAATGGTTCCCAGCTTCCGAATGTGTGGACGCGTGTGTGTGTTTCAGAACAGGAGTCCAGGATTATTTTCCACCCTCTACCAGAAAAAAATTTTTTAAGAAGCAGATATTCTGGGAAAGGAACTTGAGAAAAAAATTCAGCACCCCTCCCAAATTAACAAACAGGAAAACGCATGGAACTTCATACTCAGTAAAGACCCCACCTGACGCTGGTGCAGGCACCAGACAAGTCATAAAAAGATTCTCTTCCCTGGTCCAGGACGGGGAGCCCAGCTTTAAAAGTTTACAAAGAGAAAGTGCTTTGGATGCGTGCAATTCTGACCAAGTACGTGCTCCTTCGGGTTGGAAGTCAAGCAATTTTGAATTCACTTAAAACGACAAGGACAAGAAATGCAACCAGCAAGGCCACCGAGCCCGAGCCCCGCGGCTGGTTTGTTTGCTTTCCCCCACATGATGTCTTTTCTGATTCAGTGGAGACCCCTCGCTCACTCACAGGGAGACAGAGAGGATCGGTTTGGAAAAAAAAAAAGATGCTGCAATACAGAGTGGGGGGGGTGGGCCAGGGAGAGGGCATGTGTTACATCAGACACAGTACCTGATTTTCCAGTGCACAGCCTGTCAGCGAGGTGGTGCACCTCCTGGGCGATAAGGGAGAGTATTTCATCCTCATACTCTTCTATTATAGCTTCACACTGTGGAAACAGAAGAACAGCATATGGGGATAGATAAGCACTCGAAGCACAGCTTGTTAGGAAGGACTTGTCACAATTTTATTAGCTAAAAATATAAAATCATGTTACCAAAGTGGCCCGTTTTTCTTAGCCCTTTGATTTAAGACATCATTGCATGGGATGAACCCTCTTCCCAGAATGCTAATTGCATCGCTTTCCTGAGACTTAGCGAACTGATTAGTCGCGTTGAAAGGCGAGGGTGAGGAAGGAAAATGGCTCTTTGTATCTGTTTCTCATCCTCAGACTGGGACAGAACACAAGCAACAGGAGGGACGGAAGTCCTGTTTCTGGAGCTGAGAAGTCTTCGTTTTGGGGTTTCTTTTCTTTTCTTTTTTTAGAAATGTTAAAAAAACATAGCTCCTCGAAATGATCAAACCACTTCCCACTAGATTTAACGTAATAATCCATTTTGTGGTTTTAAAACAGGGTCTGAAGTGTGAAAATCATTAAGCTTTCTCATCAGTCAAAACAAATGCATCTTCAATTTCACTCTGGATAACAGGCTTGACAGCTACTCAGGAAAGTTTCTTTTCATACCATTTAGAGATTCATCCAGAATTTCACTTTGCTTCCCCTCCCACCCTCCAAATCTGACATTTCAGAGAAGAGGAAGCTCAGATTTGTCCATGCATCTGAAAATCTTAAATTCTGACCGGAGAAGGTGCCTGCAGTGGAGAACCACAAGGTTACACTCGTAGGAACCGTGACGCTACCGAAATGCGTTCATCCGAGACTCATGACTCATTTTCCGAGTTCATTAAATGAGACTCAAAAAAAATTTTAACGGCATTTAAAAGTGTTTAAATTCCACTATAATACATTCATGTGAGACCGTGAAATGCAAGCACACTCACTCGTTGCAACTCCCCTTCCGCAGAACTCTCAGCCTGAATCACCACCTTTGCTTTTTAGTTACAGTGAAATCTTCAAAAGTCAGACGCGGTCCTTATTTCAGGGTTTTGGCCCGGCTGACATTTTGATCAACATGAGCACTAAGGACATTTAAAAAGGCTTTCCCATTACTTTGTCTGATTCAACAGCATTGAGTAAAGTGAAATCTATTGCCACAGATTTTGCCAGGCACATCCTAGCAAGTCCACGGCCAGCATTCTTGTAAAATGGACATTGTGATGCGAGGAAATGTGGCGTAAGGCCAACTGCCACACCTAAGCCTTTGCCCAAGGTTAGTTTGTGTTAAAATACTTGAATTAACTCAGGAGAAAATAATTCTCTCTTCTGTGAGGCTTCAGGAGGAAAAAAGATGATGTGCGTCACTCTCCCTCCATCATTTGGCTCTAAATATGTGAAAATGACATTCATTTTAATTCGGATTTTAACCTTGGAACCACAGCCCCTGATTCCTTATGTGGGAACCTGTAAGAGACCTGCTTTGGCAAGGGGACCGACTGAGTCCCTGTCCCGAGCGTCCACAGGAGCCAGGCAACGTGCAAAGGGTGCCTCCAAGTCACTGGGATTTGGGATGCACTTTCTGGGGAAATCACTTCAGCGTCTCCACTGAGATGAACTATCACAGCTCTTAGGTGTCTCAAAAGGCAAGTCACTCAGCACGGGGTTAACACTGAGAAAGCAGCGGGACCACAAAGCAGATGCATCTAATTTTAATGTGCTTGTCTCCAAAGGAAACGAAACCCAAAAACAGACAGCCAAACCAGAGCACCAGAATCTCTGTGCCCTAGAGCCCAGGATTCCTCCAAGAAGAGTGCTTACCGCGAATTTCAAAGGTCTGTAAGCATCTGAATAAAAATAGAATTTTTTAAATTCTTTGTATATGTCGTCCTCCTTCCTGGGAGCAAATCTCTTGAAAGTCTTCTCCTTGGTCACGGGGTCGTCTTCAAGCTTGTAGTCATTCATCCGCTCACACACTTTGTCCAGGAGGTCTGTGAGAAACGCCTCCGACTGGGCTAAGGGAGTCTGTTGAGAAAAAGAGGAGAAAAAAGGGGAGGAAACGCGTCTTAACGTTAATATTACTTTAAAAAGACCTTCCACTGAAAGCACGTGGGAGCACCCCCCCCGTGCAAACAGTATTCCTGCCCCGATACAGTATGTGGACAGTTACATTATTTACCTAACTTGAGAGGTTAGCTTAAATTCTGGCTTTCAAAAAGCGCCTGGGGGTTGAACGTAGACAGAAGAAAAACTTACAAACTAGAAACTATACTTGCCATAAGTTTGAAAAGTCATTGAATATGCAGAATAATCCATTAGGGCCAGAAAATGGCTGTTATGATCTATTTTCGTGCGAGAGACAGACAGGCAGGCAGACAGAGCCAGGGGGAGCGCCCGGGTCTGGTGTCAGAACTCTCCTCCAGCGCAGCGCAAGCTGGGCGAAGCCACGAGTTTTGCGCCCCGCGCGCCGTGGGCCCCTCCGCGGCGGCTGCAGGCCGGTAGGGCAGGAGCAGGGACAGAGCAGGGACAGGGACAGGGCAGGGGCAGGGAAAAGCCAGGCTTACGGAACATCCCGGCTCGCGGGCGCGGCTGCGCCGTCTTTGGAACAGCTGGTGCCCGTCTCCGCGCGCCCCTCTCCCTCCGGAATCCAGCGAGGATTCAGAGGACCCTGTGGCCACCACCTCCGCCCCGCGCGGGGGTCAAAGAGCACCCCTCGCCCTTGGTAACCAGGACAAAAACTCGGGGGCCGTCTAGACAGGTCAAGGTGCAGGATGCGGCGTCCCCGCGGCTCCTTCCGGAAGGGGGCGGGGACCCGCCAAGGGCGACGAGGACGCGCCGCGGCCCCGGCCTTTGCGGGCTTTCTCCCTCTCCACCCTCTGCTGATCAAAGTAGGAAGTTTGCATGACAACCATGGTGAAAGGGGCTGAATCACAAATGAACTCGATTTCTGCGATGTTGATCTCTCCAGCCTCCATTGTCCCCTTTCAGACGCAGTGTGAACCCTTCCGGTGCCAGCGAC